TCTGCACAATCATCTTTAAATATACAAAGAGTAAGTGCAATAAGTTAGCCAAAAAAAGTGTAGGATCCATTGTAAATATATCAAAATTATTATAAGAGTAGGCAGAATTACACAAGACTAGCATTCTCAGCCCATTTTCAGATTATCTTTGTTGAGAATAGCCACAGTTTTTAATAAGAACTTGAGTCGTACTAGGTCGCCTAACGTAAAAATGAACTAATAGTGATTCCATCCAAAAGATATGAATGGGCCTCAAGAAATAATTAGATTCCACTTGATAAAATGTATTATCATATTATTATTATTATATTACCCATCGGATTTAGATAGCGGTCAATCAAAAAATAATACAATCAAAACAACAGCCATAGCTACAGACAAAGCTTCTTAGTTTACCTGGCAGATTTCAAAGGAAAAATTAAATTTAACGAAAGATCAAGTTAACACGAGAAGAAAATAATATTTTGCGAGCATTGCATGTCTGAGAGCCCTAGTAATATCAAATTATAACAGTGTGTTAAGACCGATAACTTTCCTGTGCACTTCCACTGAAAATGAAAATAAGCTCCGAATTGCTAGATCAGGAGATTCAGTGAAAACAAGCTACTCTTCCTAATCCATATTGAACTGAGGATAGAGAGTAAATTAAAAGTTTATCTAATGGATTTATTTATGATAATATCCGACACAGCAGGAAAAAATAGAGTTTTGCTAGGAATTAGATCTGATTTCAGATCAAGAAAGATGTTAAGAATAACAGACCCTACCATAGAGAACAATGGAGTTTAGATGAAGCAAATCACAAATTAATGAACCCAAGAAAACGAAGACTACAGCGGGTAGCGGATAACATATAATCTAAGAGGTAGTGCAATTCAATCTTCCGGATGCAAATAATTAGTAGAAGCACGTGCACATTTTTAGTCATATTGGAGCCTACTGCGTAAGGACAGTTAGAGCATAAATCCTGCTCGATCCTAGAAAATTTTCACCAATAGGTATTAAAAAGATTCAAATGGGTTTAATTCACGATAAGACGATTACTTTGACATTAGGAACATCTAGACCACGGGCGGCGACGGCAGTGGCTATCAAAATGGGAGTAACACCAGCGCGAAAAGATGCTAAGACTTGTTCTCTATCAGCCTGAGCACGATCCCCGTGTATTGCAGCGGCAGGGAATCCACGTTGAAGCAACATGTTAGCCAATAAGTCAGCACCACGCTTGGTTTCAACAAATACCAAAATCAATGTATTTTCTTCTAAAAAGACAAAAATTTCAATAAACAGTTTAGGCCAAAATTAGAGCAAATTTGCGTATAGTCTACCTCTTTGCTTAAGAATATTTATGAGAAGATCCTGCTTTTCGGCTTCAGAAACATTCACAATGTCTTGCGAAATATTTTCATTGGTACTGCCCACACGACCCACAGTGAGAAAAATGTAGGAATGTAAAAAATCTCGTGCTAATGACTAGAAAATATCTCATAAGGAAAAAGTTACCTGTATTTCCGCGGGAAATGTTGCTGAAAACATTAGCGTTTGCCGCTTGTTTGAGGAAGGCATACCAAACTGTTCCACAATGCGCCTAATCTGTGGCTCAAAGCCCATATCGAGCATGCGATCGGCCTCGTCCAATACAAGAAAGTTGAGGTGCTCCAGACAGACCTTACCTCTTACTATGATATCTAATAAACGACCAGGTGTTGCGACTAAAAGTGTGCATCCTTTAGCCAGATTTCGTAGCTGATTTGCTATAGACACACCCCCATAAGCAACACAAGACTTAATGTCTGAACGGTAAGCAAACTTTCGGGCCTCGTCATATATTTGAGATGAAAGTTCTCTGGTTGGTGCCAAGACAAGAGCAAGAGGATACGCAACACCATTAATCAACTAAAATCAATAAAGAAAAATACCTACTAAATTTTTTGCTTCCTTCTTTGGATCTTCAAATATCATATTCAAGATTGGAATCAAAAACGCAGCAGTTTTGCCTGAGCCGGTCTGCGCACATGCCATTAGATCACGTTTGGCAAGAACAATAGGAAGCGCATACTTTTGGACGGGAGTAGGCTTGAGATAATGTGCCCTCGTGATATTTTCTTTGATTGTTTGATTTAACTCAATGTCAGTGAAGAAGGAAAGGGGCTCGATTGCAGTCCAATTAGGGCCAGATTGTTTTACAGGAATATTCTCATACAACTGAAAATTGAGTCCAATTTTTGGCTGTCCAAAAAGTTCCAGCTCAGTCTTTTTACGATCCTTTACCTGCCAACTGAGGTCGCCGGTGTGCACTCGAGAAAAACAAGAGTTTGAAATACTTAAAAGGGTAAAATAATGAGTTCTTACAAATGGTCATTGTTGCCAATATCTCGAGGAATAGGAGGAGAGCCAAAAATCCCAATTCCCTCGCTCTTATTACCAGGTAGGATAAAAGAATTGACAAGAGGATAGCCATTTAGCGTATTAAATGGAGAATCGAATGATGGAGTTTTGGTATATCTTGGAGAATTATTGTTCCTATTAAGGTGTGGTTGGTTGGCACCAAAACCACTTTTAAAGTAGGGTTGATTTGGGAGAATAAATGAGCCACCAGGGTAGGCCGGTCCATCTGCTAAATTGAGGCAGCCAAACTAGAACAATATTATATTTAGTTAGGAAAAAGCTATGTGCAAGCCAGACCACAATAATGTATTGCCGAGTTTTAAAAATTAAAAATGTCTCACGTGTGTATCTAAGGCATCGATGTTGCGGGCCTGGAGTCCAGACATGTGAGCATAGGCAAAAGCTAAGGGAAGGCCCAGCACTCAAAAAGCCGCTGGGTCCGTGAACGGAAAGTCATTAAAACAACACTCAGATAATACTGCCATGTGCAATTCCTGGTATGTTTTTAAAGAAAATAACGTAAAATAAATAATTATTAGATTATTTACACTGATATAAGAA